CCATCCTCTTCCTTTCTGCTGCCCAAAGGCATTCTGGGCTATGTATGGATAGCTGGACCTCTGTGGCTTCAGAACTGGAGGAAAAAATACCATGCTTTTTAAAAAGATCACAGAAGAGTCCTTGCAGATATTAACAGCCCCAGGTCTTGTTGCTAGTTCCTTGCTTTGTAGTTCAACTTTAAGCCTTTTTTCTTGAAAATAAATCTCATGATGTCTTAGGAAAAAAAGACCCCATTGCATCACACTGCACAAGCAGGCCCTTCTTATTACAAAGAATCTTTAAATTTGCCAGAACATAGTATTTTCTTACACATGCTGGTAAGTAAAGCATACAATCGCTTGTTCTTTCACACATCACAAAAGAATTAACAAGCACGTCTCCCCAGCAAATCAGATAATGTATGCAGAGATGTGCCTTGTCATGCTTGTCGTTCTTCAATTCCAGTTACTATTCCAATGTACACACACACTGTATTGTGATGATCCATGCTATGCACCTGAATGATTTTAACATACCACCCTTTAGACATCCTTGTACCTGAGAATATATAGTGAGTAGGAGCCTGTCACTTGCTCACTTTTTTTCTTTGCCACTCACACATACAGAGGTATCCACACTCAAACAGAGCCATGCACACTTGCCTTCCAAGTTCTTTGCTTTCATAAGCTTAATCACAAAAGTTATATATGGAATTATAGTCTTCATTTTCACTACAGCGGGGTCTTGACTTGAGAACTTAATCCGTATTGGAAGGCGGTTCTCAAGTCGAAAAGTCTGTAGGTCAAGTCTCCATTGACCTACAGTGGATTGAAAACCGATTAATCCCGTAACAGGCCGTTTTTGTTCCATTCCGCCTAGAGTGGTCCTGACCCGATCAGATAGGTGGGATATAAATGAAATAAATAAATAAATAAATAAATGCATTTTGGGTTTTTTTCTGGTCTGTAAGTCAATTCTCAGGCTGCAAGTCAAACCTAAATTCTGCGGCCAGAGAAGTCTGTAACTCAAAAAGTCTGTAAGTCAAGCCGTCTGTAAGTCAAGGGTCCACTGTATATTATTTTATGCTTTATTTGCTTTTATTTATTAAAAACATTTACACAGAGGCACTTTTAAAATAAAAAAATGGGTAAAAATACGCTGCTTGTGTGGCCTGAGACAATTCCCTCCTATCAAAAACAAAGAGTGGCACTTGAACATGATGTGCCATGACCCCCTTTTCTTCTTCTATGCCTAGAAATAGATGCAGATACACAAACATTTTATCTCAAGATCATACACATATAGTAACTATCTCAGGAGCCCAATTTCAGCAAAATCAGCTTTTACAGATGATGGGGAGATGACGATTAACACAATGGGACTGAATAAGGTGATGTCTCCTTATCTGTGAAAAGGGAGGGTTTTTTTAAAAGAAGCAAAGATGTAACATAACAGCACAAGCTAACTAAAGTGGCTGAAGCAATGGACAGAAGTCCATTAATTTTCATTTTTCTATCAATGGAAAAAAAGAGAAATGCAATTGCTGTAAAGATCATATCGTTCAAGCAATGCTGATAACTTGGAAAATTCTTTTGAGTTGATTTGATGGCTGGCAACAATTAAATGAAGATGCTGAGGCACACTCATTTCTTTCAGAACGACCCACAAGTTTTCATGATCCACATAGTCGTCAAAGGTTTTGCTATAGTATATAATGTGTACACTGGTCTTCTTTTGTACCTGTTTGGTGTGTTCCAATACCAGCAGATATTTGCAATATGATCTTGGGTGCCTCTTCCTTTTCAGAATCTACCTTGAACATCACACATTTCTCATTCCATATAAGGTTTCTTGCAACACTTCGAGCATTGCTCTGCTTGCATGGGAAATTAGAACAATGGTCCTATAGTTACTCTCTTGACATTTCTCGTTTTGGGGGAATAGTATATTGAACATTTCCAGTCTGTGCACCATTGTTTTGTTTTCTATATTTGTTAACATATTCTTCTTAGGATTTTGACATTGTTTCTGTGACAAAATAGTTCTATTGATATCCCAGCTATCCCTCATTATTTATTTCTTCCCAGTGCTTTCACTTCACTTTCTACAATTGCAGGTTCTTCAACATAGGATTCCAATTCAAAGGAATCTATCATCCTTTATCTCTTCTATACAGATATTCAAGTATACTGTTTCCACTTCCCTGTTGGTCATTCAGCATTCTGGAGCTTTGGCATCTTCTAGAAGAGATCTCTTATTTTTCCTCTTCTATTGGTCTCTTGTTTTCTGTTTGCATTGACTACTGTAATAATTCTCTTTTTGTCTATGTGACAGTTGCTGAAATGCTGCATTCAGGCTTCTGACACTCCTGTCACTTTTTACTTTTGCTTCTCTCTTGTTGACAGTTTTAAGTGCTTCTTCCATCCTCCATCTAAGTTTTTCTTTTCTTTTCACTACAGGAAATGTCTTTTCACATTCTTCCCTAATATCTCTGGTTTCAATCCACAGTACTTTGAATTTAGTACTGCAAATATTCCTTATGTGGACTCTAGATTCATCAGAATGTTGTATAAATTATATTTTGGCAGTAGGATTGTTTTAATGTTCTTTTTCAACTTTAATGTTGGATGTTAATAGTTCATGATCAGTATCACAATCTGCTCATCTTATTTTGGCAGAGAGAATACTGCTTCTCCATCTCCTGCTTCTAATTATGTAGTCTATTTGATTTCTATATTGACCATCTGGTGATGTCCATGTGTACAGTCACCTGCTCAGTTGCTTGAAGCATGTATTTGAAATAAGCACACTGTTGGCTTCACAGAACTACACGAGTCATTCTCCTGCTTCACTTCTGACCCCAACAGCAAATTTTCCAGCACTATTTGATTCTACTTTATTTCCTACTTTTGCATCCCAGTCACCTATGATTATATGCATGTCTTATTTTGGTGTGTGATCAATTTCTTCTTGGATGCTTGCATAAAATCTTTCCATTTCATCTTCTTCAGCATGTGTAGTGGGGGCATAGATGTGATTGATGGTTACATTGATAGATTTTCTACGGAGTTTGATGGATATTGTTCAGTTAGATCTTACACAAGAGCCCCTAACTGCTATGCTACATATTGCTTCCATATTTGAGTCATTCCATTTCTTCTAAGTTCATCATTTTTAGGGAACACTTTATAGTTGTCTGACTGAAAGTATCTCGTTCCACTCTACTTTAGTTCACTGACACCAAGCATTGCAATGTTTATACATTCCATTTTTTTGCTTTATGGTTTCCAATTTTCCTTCATTCAATCTCTCATGTTCCATGTTAACAATATGTGTTCTGCGGCATCAAACTTCCCTTTAATTTCTGTGCACATCAGCTGCTATAAATCCTTTTGGCTTTAATCCAATTGCATCATTAGTAACAGTGCTATTTGTACTTGTCCTTTGCTCTTCCAACTGGGTGCTTTCCAACCTGGGATTAGCTATTTCTAATACAACATATAGTTAAAAGCTAACTGGCTGGCCTGTTTTGTAATAAAACTGTATAGCTGCATAAAGCATCAGCAATCAATATGTGCTCTGTAAATCTCTGAAATCAATACTGTAAAGAAAGCATCGACAGTGTCAGCGGATGCCTTGTCAAAACAGAAGTTATTTCCTCTCTTGAAAAAGATAAGAGTACTTTTTGGAAACTGCTGTAGTCCAGGCTTGCCCAGGTTTTACTGTGCTGTAGAATACCAGAGACCAACTATATTGATAATGAATACTGTAAGATGGTTAGCAGGGATGACCTTTTTAAAATTCTTCCCAAGTTTGGATGTCCACCTCAACTCCTTAACATCATCAGGTCCTTTCATGAGGATATGAAGGGCACTGTAGTTTTTGATGGCTCAACATCGGATCCCTTTGACATTCACAGCGGAGTAAAACAAGGCTGTGATCTCGCGCTGACCCTGTTTGGGATCTTCTTTGCTGTCATGCTGAAGCATGCCTTTGGAACTGCAACAGAAGGTGTCTATCTCTGGACTAGATCAGATGGAAAGCTCTTTAATCTCTATAGATTGAGAGCAAAGACCAAAGTCCAACTGAAATGCATGCGGAACTTCCTCTTCGCCAATGATGCAGCCATTGTTCCCCATTCTGCTGAAGACCTCCAACACATGAATAATTTTAGCAAGGCCTGCCAAGACTTTGGACTAACAATCAGCCTGAAGAAAACACAAGTCATGGGCCAGGGTGTGGATTCACCTCCCTCTATTACTATCTCCACGCAAAAATTGGAGGTTGTTCATGAATTTGTGTACCTTGGCTCAACAATCTCTGACACTCTCTCCCTAGATGTCGAGCTGGATAAACGCATTGGGAAAGCAGCTACCATGTTCTCTAGACTCACAAAGAGAGTATGGCTTAATAAGAAGTTGACCGCATAGACCAAAATCCAGGTCTATAGAGCCTGTTTCCTGAGCACACTCCTTTACTGCAGCGAGTCCTGGACCCTCTGTGCACAGCAGGAAAGGAAGCTGAACACCTTCCATATGCGTTGTCTCTGACGCATTTTTGGTATCACCTGGCAGAACAAAGTTCCAAATAGAGTAGTCCTAGAACGAGCTGGAATTTTTAGCATGTATACATTACTGAAACAGCACCGTCTACATTGGCTTGGGCATGTTGTGAGAATGGCTGATGGTCGGATTCCAAAAGATCTCCTGTATGGAGAATTAGTGCAGGGAAACCGCCCCAGAGAGAGACCACAGCTGCGATACAAGGACATCTGCAAGCAGGATCTGAAGGCCTTAGGAATGGACCTCAACAGATGGGAAACCTTGACGTCTGAGCATTCAGCCTGGAGGCAGGCGGTGCATCATGGCCTTTCCCAAATTGAAGAGACATTTGTCCAGCAGGCCGAGGCAAAGAGGCAGTCCCGAAACAAGCAAAACCAGGGAGCTGGACAGGGAACAGTTTGTATTTGTCTTCACTGTGGAAGAGATTGTCACTCTCGAATTGGCCTTCTCAGCCACACTAGACGCTGTTCCAAGACCTCCATACAGAGCACGATACCATAGTCTCTCGAGACTGAAGGATGCCTACTACTACTGTAATAACTGTACATCTCCACTAACCTAAATTTACTGTTCTCAGGAAGCTCTTTGTGTACAAGCACAGTATATGGTGCCCAGACATACATTTAAGCACCAACTTCCAAGTAAAATAATGTAAACATTTTTCATGATGCTTTATGGAATCATGTAAGATTTCTTCTCCTCTTCCTAGCAGAACTCCAGTAGCTAAAGAAAAGGCTGAAAGCATTTGGTATCCATTTCTAGCCCCCCTTGCTTGTGTGTGTGTGTGTTTATACAAAAAGTCTCTGGTCTCCATTATGCTGCTCTCATCTTGTGGCTTCAGGCCTTCCTCCACAAAGTCATACTGGTTTCATTTCGGGAGTTTTGTAGCAGTTGTTATTTTCAGAGATGTCATCTTCAGTGGAATAGTTTCCTGAATCTCGTCTGACATCTTTCAATTCTTTGCAGTCTTTTGTGGCTTCATCTGGAATGATACTGTCAACTATGACAACAGAGTCTTCTGTTGGCTTTTCTGAAGTTAGTAAATAGGAACTGCTCGAACGTTTTCCTTCAATGCTCTACAAATAGTAAAGAACAAATAATGAGAAAAAGTAAGATTTTAAATTTAATAAGCAACTTTGCAGTACAGTACTATCCAATTTTGCTAAAGTGCTCTGCTATGCTAAAAAAAATTCTTACATCAATCTCTCTATTTAAAAAAAACCTTGACAGAAAGCTATTATATACAACCATCATTAATCATATATTAGCCAAAATTTTGCTGCTTAGCACAGTAAATCACACTAGAATAGGCCCATTGATTCAGTGGGGACCTGTTGAGTCAACTCCTCTGTAAGTTTCATTCATTCAAATGGGCCTATTCTAATTGCAACTTACTGTAGCAGTGTAAGTCACAGTTAGAGTAGGCCCATTGGAATCAATTAAACTTATGGAGGAATTGACTCATCAAATCTCCAATGATTCAAGAGGCCTTTTCTAACATGATTTACAGTGGGGTCTTGACTTGAGAACTTAATCCGTATTGGAAGGCGGTTCTCAAGTCAAAAAGTCTGTAGGTCAAGTCTCCATTGACCTACAGTGCATTGAAAACCGATTAATCCCGTAACAGGCCGTTTTTGTTCCATTTTGGTTTTTTTCTGGTCTGTAAGTCAATTCTCAGGCTGCAAGTCAAACCTAAATTTTGCGGCCAGAGAAGTCTGTAACTCAAAAAGTCTTTAAGTCAAGGGTCCACTGTAATATACTAAGCAACAGGATTTGGGCTATTATTAATGGTTATCACATACTGAGGATACCACTGGTATAAAATACTACAAAGATAAATGACTTGTTTTGCTGAAGCATTGGCCAAATACGTTCAGTCATTACAGTATAGTTTGAATCCCTAGGGAGTTGGAATTTAAGGGCAAAGTAGACATTATATTAAATATAAAATTGATAAATACATGGCTATTGTTTTCTTCCCAATCTATACCATTTAGTAAGGAGAACAAGTACTCACAAATGGTTCCTGAACATGCAGTAGCTTAATTGTTTGGAACAGTGAGGGTACCTGAGTTTCTCCCTTTCATACAATTACACATATGAACTCTATTCAGGCATTCATGCTAGGATTAACCAGATGTGTGAAAAAAGGCAGTAAGTTACCTCTATTTCCTTTATTTTTACTCTCTTCAACCCAAGTGAAGAGCGGTGGCCTGAAAAATACAGCTTCCTCTGGGTGTGCAGCTTCTCAGTGTGATGAGAAGCTGCACACCCAGATTCTAATCATGTGGAAACCCTTTCTTGTGTACGAAGGCTGTCCCTTTCAGACTATCACTCTCCATGCAAAGCTGGAGGAGGAGCAGGAAGGGCATAGCTATACTGCTTCTCTTCTTTCTGTGTTCAGCCTAACCTTGAACAAGATTATTTATTCTATTTCCCTATGAAAAAAGTGAATCCACATGCATGGAGTGAGTTCCACATGCAAACAGAAACATCTGCAATGCTGTTTCTATATTAACCTGACTCATAATTATCTTACTACTGCAAAAGATAAAGTAATAGAAATGCATATAAATACCTCTATGTTCACAGGAGGATTGCATTTTGGAAAGAATGCATATTTGATCTGCCTCCATACACAACAGATCAGACCTGTCATTAACAAGACAACAGCCAGAGTAACTATGAATACTATAAAAATGGTTGAATGTGTAGATCCTCCTGCAAGCAAAAAGAAAAATAAATTATTAAGATTATCGAAACTGTGCTCATTGAGATACAACTATTCTAAATGGGGCTCAAGTTGGGGGATTCCAAAACAAATCTGCTGCCTTACACACAGTACTGCTGACTCGCAGGAATTGATGCATAAGCAATGCATGCCTGTAGTCCTACTCAACTATTCAGAAAGAGGTTAAATCAGCCCACAAGACGGAGTGCACTAAGCCCTCTGCTTTCTCATCCTTTGCTCATGTGAAGAGCAATGTTTCTAATAAGAACCTCTTCTAAGCATAGAGGGTCTCCTTGAGAGCCAGAACCCTGGAAAATCAGAATCTTGGCTCACATAGAAAGTCTCTCCTCTTCACATCTGTGAGCCAGGTGAGAAGTGAAGGCCAGGCTAATGTGCACCTTCATCCTGGTGTGCTGATCTGACCCCATTCTGAATGTCTCAATAAGGCTTGTGTGGAGCGGTAAGCAGATATGTGTTCCTTTGCCTTCCTTATTTCTATGGTGAAGCAAGCTTTTTTTTTTCATAATTTCTCTCCCAGAGTTTATAGTGGATGAAATCCTAATTCAATTCCAGTTTATCCCGGCATGTGAATCTTAGGCATGCTACCACTGGCAGTAACCTTCTAATCATATAGCTCCCCCTCCCTCTCTTTTTCAGCAATAGAGACCAACAACACCTCTGAAAGTTGTTACTCTATCCAGGAGTCAATAGTGGTAATACAGCATGCTGATTTCTTAAGAACATTAGTATTTCTAGTGTCAGCAGCTTGATTGTAGCTCACTCTTTTTCCATACAAAAATCTAAAACTAGGCTTAATTCTCAATAAAAAAAGTAAAAACAGTTTTATGTACTCCAACAATGCCCAGTAGAGTGCTTAATATAACATTCTAACAGTTTTCTTAACATGAAAAAATCAGGAAGAACTGCACAATTGTTTGGTCTTGTACATAATCATTACAAATTACTAAACTTAGTTACAATAAATTCTGTATACTTACTTGAACTGCAACATACAACATACATAGTATATTTCAGTCTTTGTAAATTTACAGAGGATTATGCAGATAACCTGCATTTATGAAGTGATCAACTATGTCTGAAGGGCATAATGCAGGGCAAACAGGCTTTTCCTAGTGGCTGGCAATCTGAGAGGGGTCCTTCAAATTGGACTGTTGTGCTCTGTCGCTTTTAAATGTGTTTTTAGTATTGGTTTTATTTACCATTTTAATCTGATATTTAATTATTTTTTAATATTTGTATATTTATTGTTTTTAGCTTTTCAAGACTGTCCTTCTAATGTTGTAAACCGCCTTGGGTCCTTTTAAGGAGAAAGGTGAGGTAGCAATATTTTAAATAAATACATAATAATAAATAAATGTAAAATCAGGGATGGGAAATCCCAACCCATGGGTGTCTGTGGGGATTCCCATTTGGCTTGCAAGTTTCTCCTGCCATTATGTCCTATCAGGAAAAAGAGAAAAGATTCAATTTAAGTGTACTCGGATGTCAAAACAAAACAACAGGTTTCTCATATCTGATGTCAGTAATAATTACACTAAGGGAGATGACAGCAACAACTCTTTCTGAACGGAGGTGAGACACAGTCAATACAATATCATATACAATACCTTTGGCTGTTTCAATGCATGTCACGTTGCTAAACTTGCTGCTTTTATTGTATAGTTTACTAAAAGCTTGCACTTGAAGGCAATATAAAGTTGATGGTGTCAAGTTTGATATTACATATGGTGGTGATGTTGTATCTCCAAGTTCTTTCTTCTGTAGAAAAAAAAGTATCATAACCCAGGCCAGAAATTAGTTCAGCTATTTATATTCTAACTTGGGGTGCAATGTGTAATAACTATGCCACAGCCTCTACAAATTTCAAGCATACTGTTCATGAGTCAAGACAACACATAGCAACAGCAACAACTGATCAAAGCCCAAGGGACACTGCTCTTTAGACAGCAGTGTTTATCATTACTCCAACCAGCAATTTTGGTACCTAGGTTAAGCAACACAAAATGTGCCCCTAAAATCACTTCGTAATCCATGATGTTAAAATAATACAAGAAGAAATCACAGTACTGAAAACCTTGCCAGTATTTCCCCATCTCCACCGGGGATCTGCAGCACTGTCAGAACCAGAAAAATAAATTAAAAGTCTCTCTCCTGTGCGCACGTACACGCACGCACACACACAGAGTACATATTAATAAGCATTTTTGTGGTCCATCCCAGAGGTCTACTAAGACCCAGGTAGATTTGACCTCAGAAAAAAAGTTCATCTACCCACACAAGTCTGGTAGACCTACGCTACATCCAGACACTAGAGACCTGGTCTTTTGTGTCAGGGTAGACATGCCTTCTGCTGCTTTAATGGGGCCTGAAATACTAGCCACCTGCTCTCTGGTCTCCCACTGCAGCCCAGGCTACTGGCTGCACAACCTACTGTAAAATCTGATTTGGAAACTTGATCTACTGATTATCTTTTCCTATGGCAATAGATCAGGCTGTTGGGGCAATGGGGGGGGGCACACATTCTATATCTAGTGCCCTGGGGCAAAGCCCTGGTTGCTCCACTCTAGTAAGGTCCCTGCCAACCAATTCCAGTATTCTTGCCAGTTGCTGTATGGCTCTGGATTGTATCTCAAGTATTCTGGAGTTTGTCAGGGCTTCAAAGCTATCTATTCCAACCGGGCAAAAGTGCATGCACCATCAGTGCTAGAGAAAACACTTTATTTCTAAGGCTATATTTGCTAAGAATTATTTTGCAAGAGGAAACTGTATTCAACAGCTTTCTATATTAAAAGGTGCTATGAAGCAAATAGAACATTGTCTTAATTTTGTTGTTGTTGTTGTTCAGTCGTTAAGTCATGTCCGACTCTTCGTCATCCCATGGACCAGAGCACGACAGGCCCTCCAAGACACAGAGATATCAAAATATAATTTTCTCATGAATGTATCCCAGAAAAAAATCTTCTATATACTGGTAGACTCTTGCTTAGTCTTACTGGACATTAAAATAAATGATGAAGTTAGCATGCCTAGCTGTAAAACAAAAAAAGAGAAACAAACATGGAGTGTTAGGATATGAGCACTTGTATGAATAGTAGTCTTTGAAGTAGATGTATGCTGTAAGATACCTTAGAAATTTAAAAATATTTGACCAAGGCACAATCTAATGAAGGGAAGTGTGTCTTTTTTAGAGCCTAATAGAGCAATAATTCAAAGGCTGACAAAAACTATAGTATAATGTGTCTATGAAATGTGGTGTGCCAGGCTTTTATTAATTACCCTTCAAATGGACCAGCTGAACAGTGAAAACAGGGTGTTCATAGCTCATGGCAAGAGCACATGTTAGTATTTTCTATAAATGCATTTAACTACCTAAAATAAATAGCATTACCTTGGTATAGGAAGAATTTGGCCAGTACCAAACGTGGTAAGTCAAGTCATAGAACTCACTCATAGGTTTATAATCAGATTCTCCAGGAGAAGCAACGAAAACTGTAAGCGAATCTTCACTGACATTAAGCTTGACACTTGGTGGGCCAATTTCATCTTTAAAATAATGTTATAAAGTCCATTAAACTTCTGAATACCAAATAACAAAATGTAAAGGCACAACTACTCCATCTTTTTCTCCTTAGCAATTCTTTTTCTCTTAAGGAGAAAGATGAAAAAGCACTGGAAAAAGTTTAAAATATTACAAACTTATAATGACATGATCTGGAACTCCTTACAAAATTCCGCGCCTCTGTGAATGAGGCAGGATGACTATGCAATAAAGCGGATACCTGACACAGAGGCCGCTCAAGATATTTCACTGCTCAAGGCTGGATGGCCCCCCTTCCACTATCTGACACACACAAACCAGCTGGCAACTGAATCTTTATTTCAATACCAGCAATGTTGTTCTTTGCACCTGAAGGCAGCAAGCTAATTAAAAGGGCACAGGACAGGCCATGTGCCACACATAGCTGTCTCCAGCAAAGGGGGGTGTCAGGAAGAACGGCTGAGTTGCTGCCATTGCTACCGCCAACATCTCTGCTTGAGATTGTTACCTTGCCCAGTGATAGGCCCAGCCCTGATCTGTAAGTGAAGTAAAGCTCCAAACATAACAGCAAACTTTCTACTTCAAGATGGGACACCAAAAAGAATGAGGTGATGTAGACGTAAAGATGGATTTAAAGTTAGAAAACGAATACTCAATGCAAATCTTTCTTTTTAATTTCCTTAAGTTGCTGCTGTCAGTTCTCTGCGCAAGCTCTTAAAACCAAATACTTATATTGAAACACATCTGGGAACTCTAAAGAAGCAATCCATTGAGAACTTCTGATGGGCAGCTCCAATACATTTCAATAAAACTTAGGTCAGTATACTAAAAACATGAGTTAGCTGAGCCTGGAAACCATAGTGTGCTATGAACTATGAAACTCCTAAGGTTTTACAAGTATATTATACAGGGAAAAAAAACCAAACTCTTTATTATACAAGATGCAACACAGAAATTATGAAAACAATACAAAGTGAACATGTAAAAAGTTCTGTGTATAAATACGTACTTTCTTCTATTGATTCAAATTGCAGCATTTTAGACCAAGGTGATTTGTTATGGTTATGCACAGCCTGTACATGAAAATAATAAACTCCTATGAAGTTGCCACAAGATGGGAGATCACAGTATGTGGTTCTGATATTTTTGCATCCAGTTACTTTGTGCCATTGCTGTGAGATATCATGAGACATCCGTGCTTTGTAGCGACTGCAAGAACAGAAGTTTGATTAAGAGGAATAGTCAATACAAAATTGTCCCCAAACGTTCTTCATATTTATCTGAATGCTAGATCCCCTTCCCCTGAGTTCAGTGCAAGTCACAACTTCAAGTGAGAATGCAGAGGACAAAAGCCTCTAGAAATGTGGAAAGTGCATTTGGAAAGCTGTGTGAAATTCTGACACAAGAGAAAGTTTCTACTGCTTTCAGTTTGTATCCCTTATTAAACTTATGACAAATAAACATAAGGGGGAGCGGATTAAAAAGGACTGTTTTGCTGCATTAAATTTAATTCTGATTGAGGGGGGGATTAACTAAAAAGGAGCAAATTGTCTGTGTGCTTTAGTAATCAAAAAGAATGAAATTGATTAATATGATTTTCTCCCTTTATGTGTCAATGTATGGTCCTGGCAAGAGTGCTGGATTAGAATTGAAGAAATCCAAGGTAAGCCAAACTATCCTCAGCCTATTAAACTACTAGATACCCTTTGCCTAGACATTGGAAGGATAAGGCAATGGGGGGGGGGTAGTCTTGAGATTATGTATGGTACCTGAACTACTTTGAGGAAAAACAGGATAAAAGTGTAATAAAATAGGTACAATAAGGCCAAATCGGGGTGGTGGTTTATGTACGTCATCAAAAATCCATTAATTTTAGCAGGATAACTCTATCACCCAATCTTCTCTTGAAAGTAAAAGAACCCCCAGATAACAGAGCATTGCATCCCTTCACCAGCAAACTAGCATTATGGCCAATTTTAATATAGGTAGATCTAGAGTGAATAATTCTAGTTGTTAAAATATCAGGCCAAAAGAAAAGAAAAATTAAAAATTAAAAAGAGAAGAAATGTTGTGGCACCTTAAAGACTAACTGCTATATTTCAATGTGAGTTTTCATGGGCCAGTCCACTTCCTCAGAGACTATATATAAATGTCAACATGTATGACAAAAATCAACGCTTGTTCGCAAGGACGTACATTGAAATGTAACAATTAATCTTTAAGGTGCCATATTTTTGTCTTCTACAGTTTTTATTTTTCTTTTGTTTTGGCCTACATACTAGCACAGACTAACATGGCTACCTCTTCTAAAACTAGAACATTGGTCACTAAAATAAACCCTGTTACTACCTAACAAAAGTTAGAGGATGGTTTGTTTCTGAAAAATTGAGCATTTTGCCAGGTCCATCTAATGTCCTCAGAAAGCGACCCCCCCCCTCCTGGGTCAGGCCCAGTCCTATCACTAGCCTGACTGAGCTGGCTGCTCCATGCTGTGGGGTACTGGGAGCAGCAAACTCAGGAGTCCACATCCCACCCTGGTTTTGCACAGATCTCAAAAACTGGATCTCAGCTCTGATGGCTGCATCCACCATACTATCTCCCCCTCCCCATGAAGAATGAAGCAGTTGCAGTGACAATGGCTGGAGGAGGAGAAAAAGGCTTAAGCCTTAAGGTATCATATTCCCAATTACAGTATTTTCAGAGGTCAGCTATGCTTCTTTCAGACTCAATTTAATGCCCGTTGTTTGACAGGTGATTTGTCTACACTGCCTGGCTCAAGGGCTCCTTGTAGCTCAACATTAAATAGAACAGGGAAAGAGTTGGCCCTATATAATAGAACCAGGCTCTGAATTTTGGTGGGGATGCAGCTGCTGTAGCTGCTTCCTTCACTGCTTCATAATTATCTTCATTACTACCCGCACCATAAGTGCTGCCACATATTCTCCTTGTTAGACAGGCGGTGGCCACATTCTTGTCCTTTGCTGATTTCTTTCTACTGTTTTGGGGACAGGGGGACAGGCTGTGCAACAGCTGCTTCCTCTTCTTACCCCTCCAGTGACAGCCAAAGCCATACAGTATCTATACGATACTTCTAGATATCCCGATCCTTAAAGATTAAAATGGCACACACTAAATGGAAAGTGAAAATTATAACTGAAATATACACAGAGATTCTTACGGCAGGCTCTGTACAAGGAAGCTCACATTTCCATCATATACACCATCCCAGTACAAGCGGCACTTCATATTCAAGGCATGAATGTGAACATTTTCAGGAACAGGCAGACCAACCCAAGCTATAGAGAGAAAGAAAAAGCCCATCCATTTGATTTCAAGAACAATAGCAAAAAAAGAGAGTTACAAACAAAGCTTCAGTTCAACAGCATGTCAGAACCAAAAGACCCAGAGGCAATTCTGAAAGCAGAATTCTTGAAGCCGCCCAACAACCACTTCCAGCCAGCACTTAAAGACATTGTGGAAAATGGGTCTCCAATGCTAAGCAAGATGCTAAAACTTGGAAATGAATCATGGGTGAGGGGGAAGATAAGGAGAATGGAAGTACTGTACGTACTTGTTTGTATCTAAATTGTTTCCTGATCAATCCTGCTTTTTTTTTAAAGGGTGCAATGACTCATTTGTTTCCTCCCTAACTAAGTCAGAATTGTTAATATAAAATGCCTACCTTTAGGTGTTTGTTTACAGTATACTGGACTATATAACCCAATATGACCATACAGATGTGCTTTGACCTTCAGACAATAAACAGTTTCTGGCTCAAGATCATGAAGAAACTGTCCAGGAAGAACATCCTGAGTTTTTTCCTGCAAACAGAGAATTCCATTTCATTCATTATTTTTTATTGCTTTAGCACTCTTTTATTGGCTTAAAAGAAGTAACAATGATATAATTTAAGAATGATAAATGTTGCATCTTGAACTTAGACTGAGCAGTATTTTTACAATTTAACTAATCTTGATGTTACTTAATTTTGTTTGTTTTGTTTATTCTTTGACTTTGTCATGGTTTTGATTTTTTAATGCTGTGAACTGTCCAAAAGAGTGTATTACACTAATGAGGTGGTATACTAAGTAAGTAAATAAGTAAATAAACAAATACAATCAGAGAACATATATGCATCTTTCTACAAATATTTGTGACTCTTCCAGTAGAAATTTCCAATTTTCATCTAAAGCTATATTTTAACAAAGAAAGTAAATCTTCAACTGCTTATGGACAGAAATGGTGCACCTTAGGATGAGATGAGTTTTTCCAAATAGCCAGTTTATATGTTAAAGATTCACCCTTCCACATTTGCTTTGGCTGGTTTGTTTCAGGATGCAAAATGATGAGCTTCTCATTTCCATTTATTGACTCAAGCCACACTTCTGGAGGACCAATCTGAGCTGCAGAGAAAGATAACAGAATCGAAGTACACTTAAAATTAGTATCGTTCCTATTGATAGTGCTTCTGATGAAATAGTTATACACTGATAATTTACCCTGACTGACTATAACAGATTGAGATTATTAAAAGAATACTTTTAAAGATGGATTATTTATTTATTTATTATTTATTTATTTATGGACTTATATACCGCCCCATAGTATTGATCAAGAAGCATAACAGTTTAAGACAATGTTGTTTTTCAATGACAGTTTTAGGCTTTTTTAGATACCCTGAGTGAAATTGTTAAGAGTTTTACACCAATTTCTTACCAATCCTGTTTTTCACAAAAGAAGTGGAAAAAATAAATAATATTTTTGTAATGGTTTATACCAACAAATTACTTGAAGGAGAAGGATTTGTTAAGTTAAATAATGCTTGGGGGTCCACCTTGACCTGGCGCTTGCCATGGAATCCCAGGTAATGTCAGTGATTCATAGCACCCATTTACATCTTCGGCGGATTGCCTAGTTGCGTTCCTCTCTTGATGTTGGGGTGCTCACCACACTTGTCCATGTGCAAAACTGGAAACCGGGTCTTCTTGGCGGTGGTCCCTCACCTTTGGAACATCCTTCCCCCTGAGATCCGCCTGGCTCCTTTGCTGTGAGTTTTTAAGAATAAACTGAAGACCTGGCTCTTCAGGCAGGCCTTCCCTCCAGACATTATTTAATTTCTTCCCCTGGTTTTTCCATCTTGGATTATGTTTGCTTGTTTTAGGTTTTTTTTTTTTGATGCTTTCAATTTTATTGTTTTTTGGACTATAAACTGCCCAGAGTAGATTCATCTAGATGGGCGGTATAAAATCCAAATAAATAAATAAATTTACTTCTAAAATGTGTCCCAGGAACAGTGTATGCAGCCTTATACCAGGACATTTGTCTATCTAGTCTAGTACTGGCAATTCTGACTGACAATGGCTCTTTAAGATTCAAAGCAAGATTCTTTCTTGAGATCCCTGGTGCTGCCTTTTGGTTATATACTGGTTGGCCAGCTGGGCCACCTTGGCTTTGCTTCTGAAATCAGCAAAGGTGTTCAGATATAGCTTTAGATATAGCTATATCTTAATTCTCCACAGTGGCTCAGAACATAGCAGCTTGACTTAATAACTCTGTGAGGACTGGAGCACTGGCACTGCAACCTCAAACTTTCTGCCATGGTCCAATCACAGTCATGTGAAAACTTCAGAAATATTAACTAATTCGAAGGAGGAGCTTCGTCTTGGTGAAGCTAGCAGCTCTCGGGAATAGCTCCCAGGGAAAGCTAGAACCACTTCGGTCTGGGACCCTTCCAGAAACGGGGGGGACCAAGGAAGAGTCAGGAGAGACCCTTCTGCAGCAGCTGGTGAGCTACAGAAGTTAGAAGATTGGGCAGCAACTCGATTTGTCTTTCTTCTGGAAATTCACATCACCACAGACGAAGACGGGCGCCATTTTTGGCAACTAGCCAAAGACAGCTCCGTTCGCCGAGAATAAGAAAACAGAAGCACGGCGAAAGTATACATCAAAGTAAGTGGAAGCCCTTGTTCTATGAAAAACCTCATTAAATGAAGAACAAGTGATTGTGTGCAAATTTATGACCAAATGAGATAAGGAGCGGCATTCCTAGCATTCCAGCTTTACCCAAGCTGAAGGTCGAGTTATTTC